CTCTGATGCATTTAATGACCAGAAACCACAGGCAGGCCCTGGGCTAATCAGATCCAAAATATGGGGCCAGCCCAGTTTATTTCTGGTTGGGTTTTACTTTGCAAGATGCCATTTGCCCACCTGAATGGCTGGCTCCAAGTTCACTTATACCAGGTAAAAATGCCTACTGCATCAGGTGCTGTACCAACCTATAGTAAAAATGGCCGTGTCTATACTGTTGCAGCAGTTGGCCCCAGACAGGAAGGGCTGAGCTCACCTTGCTTATCCGAGTCTGATGTATTCCAGAACTAGAAATTTGCCTGCAAGACTAGTCCAGGCCCATCCCCACTTATTTTCAGAGCCACTGCAGCCACTGTGCCGGCTTGGAAGCAGGCACTTGGAGACTGTAGTGATCACCAGGTTCAATAAATACAGGTATACATGAATGAGAAGAACTAACAATAAACTTTAAACGAAGAGCAGCAGGCAACCTCTGTAGACCCTTTGTCTGTCTCTGACTAACTAACTTAACTTGGGAACTGTTGTCCAAATTCCAACCTATGTAGCCTTCTTAGTCAGGGAGTGTCTCTATTATAACCTCTGTTGCTACAGGGACAAGTCCAGAGCAGCCTCATGGGAGAACTTGCCAAAATTGAAGTGTCATGGGTGCAAGCTGACAAGATGGGCTCTGCCCCACCCTCACGGGGACATGTTGCTGCCATGGCACAGAAGAGCCCTCAGAGCACCTGTCTTGCAGGGTTTACAATCTAAATACAAGATAAGCAAAGCGGAGAAGCATGATATACCCCTTGTACAGAGAGGGAACCAGTGACCAAAGGACATGTTTGCACAGCAAGCTTACTGCACCAGGCTGTGCTCCAAACCAGCAGCAGTGACTGTTTGTGCAGCCATCAGGTGTTTTCATTTGAATGGTTAAGTGATAGGCCCAATTAGACCGCACCTTCACTCATTAGCCCGCCCCTAGCATTGCACTGATTGGCTAAGTTTGCCTTAGAAGACTTGTCCCAAATCATAAAGGACTATATAAAAGAGCTAAGTTTCAGCGCCCTTCTCCTAAGGCTATCTCCAGCCTCAGCCAACAAGACCAGCCTTCCCTTTATGATCCAGAAAAATCAGGTGCCATCTTCGACATAAAACATGGATACTGCCCGCGTCTCAGAAGCTTTCCAGGATTCTGGCTTTTCAGCTGTGCAGCATCACCTGGAAAACCTCCCCCCAGGCCGGTTTGGTCTCTACAGCTCCAGCCACCATTTTCACATAGGCAGACTGATGTGCATGGGTCACTAGGCCCCTCCCAAAGGTGAGCACATGTACCGGGAATATTGGGTAGCTTTTCCCTGATGCACCACATAAAAAGGGAAGAAGTGCCATGCCCCAGCATGTTTGTCTTTGAGGGCCTGCACCCAGGAACCAGATGGAGCAGGGGCAGCCCCTGGCAAACAGATATGGTCACATTAGCAAAGGGGGACTTCTTGGGATGTCTCCCAGGCTAAATCATCCTCAGAGGAGCAGTCACTTAGTTTCGCTGCTGGAGTAAAACTAGGTTAAAAAAGGGGCAAGGGTGTCTTAGCAGAAGAGCTGGAGTCCTCCTCTCAAGCAAGCAGGCACTCCAAGTGGAGGAAGGTGGGCTGCAGGGGGTGATTTCCACAGAGGTGAAAGGTGGCACAGCTGACACCATCACGTATCTATTCAAAGGGCACTGCTTGGGCACTGACCAGCCAGGCCTCCATGTCACGCAGCCCTGCTGATGGGTGTCAAGCCCCTGTTGCCATTCAATTTACAGCCTCTCTATCAATGCTACCACAGAAGTGCCAGGGAGAGGATGCAAGCTCCCACAGACCTCAGCACATGCAGAACTGCCTGCTTTTGCCCTCGTTGCGCGAGGGTCTCTGATCTTGGCAGGTTCACACTCAATAAAAATGCATGCCAGCAGCCAAAGGGATAAAAATCACCCGCAGATGCATCTTCATTTCCATTTCACTTATGCAGCCATTTAATAACATTATTAACAGCAGGAGTGGCTCTGGTCCTTGGCACTGTGGAGGTGGCTGGAAGCAAGTGGGAGGTCGAGCTAATGAATCACTGCACACCAGAGCCCACCAGTGGGTTGAGTGATGCTCATGGCGGGGTAGGGGGTGGTTATTTTACTGTCTCCGAGGCACCTCCCCCAGATCAGAGCCCTATTGTGCTAGGCACTGTACACCCATGTAATGAGAGACCGTTCTTCCCTCGATTCCTATTTAGGCAAGACAAGCCAGTGAAAGAGAAAGGTAAAAGGTCTTGCCTGTTGTTACACAGCAGTCCAATGGAGGAGGTACAACAATAACCCAAGTCTCCTGAGCCAAGTCCAGTACCTAGTCTTGAGCTCTTACCATTTCTGGCTTTGTTCCTTCGTCTCTTCTCTGAACTGTGGGGAGTCAAACTTGTCTGGCTCTGGGGATAAATTAGAGCAGCAGCAGAGTGGATGCTAGGCTGTAACCAGCCCCTGTTCCAGCAGCTCAGTTTAGCCAGGTCACAACCATGCCTGGGATAATGCCATCTTCTCCCTGAGCCTTGGTCCCTGAGCCCAGGGCTGCAGCAGGGGGTGGCTAGATCCACAAAAACTATTTTGCCTGGTGAATCCCTCCACTTCCCACAAGTAATCTCTAGAGGATGGATTCCCTGACCCCACTGCCCTTACTTCTGCCAGAGCCAAGAGGCCCCAGAGTATGCTGCCTTCTATTAGACTTGTGCCGACATCTTTTTGGAGGAGACCGAGTGACCTCTCTGTTGGTGCAGGAAGTTCACTCATACCTGGTTTTAAGGTGAGGCCAAAGCCCATACATTTGCGAACAGGCAACAGCTGGAGGGCAGAGGTTGGTAGACCTTCCAAGAGCCTTGGGGACCCAGGATGTTCTTGCAGGAATGGGACACCGACCCTCAGCACAGCCTGCTCCCACCCCCAGCAACATGTTACATTCACTTTCCCAAAGTAAATGTCCCCGGACTGTGGGGAGCAGCAATTTTATGGCTTTTTTTTCATTCCTTTGCAAATACACACCTCAAATCCGTAGGGTGGAGGGCCAGGAAGATTGTGGCCCTAAATGCAGAATGTGCTCCTGGGCCCTTATACAATGCTCACGTGGCAATTACACCTTCCACTGCGCCACCAAACCAGCCCAGCCCAGCCGCTCTGAACTTGATGCTACTTCACACTTACCATGTGGCAGCAAGGGTGTGGGACAGGGCAGTTAAGGTGTGTTGCTGCGATTGCAAAGATGTAAATCCATGCCTACTCGGGACTTGTGCTAAAGGCTGCCCGCCATTGACCCAGCTGTAAACAGGCAGCTGCTCCTTCAGGTGGGGGAGTCACAAGCAGCCAGATGACATGGCAGCTGCATCGCTCCCTTGTGTACCCCTCACTATGGAAAGGGGGGACATTGCCACACTAGAAGTATCAGCCTTCTAGGCTCAAAGGGACTGTGACTGCCTTGGATAGCAGCAGACCCAGCTGTGCTAGGCTCTGTACAAAAGAGTTCCTTTCCCAAGGAGGGTATGCTAAAGAAAAAAACCAGCAGCTTTTTATCCAGCCACTTCCTCCTCAGTGTTACCTTCTGGAGTTTTTTAGGGTGTTTTTGGCTTGCATCAAAAGCCAAAACCAAGCAGCAGACACCCAGCCTGATTTATGCTTCAGCTCCACAACAAGCAGAGGCCCAAGTCTCATTGCAAAGGGTCAGAGAAACACTGGACCAAGTGAACCTGGTTAGAGGGGGGCTGTGACTCCCTCAGCATGGACTTCAAAATGTGCTGATGCCTTTCCTCCAAATGTGATGGCTCAAAGTCTCCTGGCATGCAAAGCCAGACAGGGTCAAACCACAGGATGGGCCTTAGTCCTGAACCACCGGAATGATGATCAGAGATGAGTCATTGCCCAGACCCGGCTTGGCACCTCCAAACTCAGAGACTGGATGAGGGAAGAGGGAGCCTGGATCAGGCTGGGGATTGTTACT